TATGTGTCTTTACATTTTTCTTTGACACCAGACACAGAAGAATATGTATTTTTGGGTTTGAAAACATTAGCAAAACTATATAAGGTTCTAAAAAAATATATTATTTTCCCTTAGGGAAGAGGGAAGACAACAGTGGGGCGGGGAGTGAGGAGGGTCTCTGGAATTCTGGCAATGTTCTGTCTTTTCACTTTGTGAAAATTCAGTTGTACCATTATTCTGTGTAGTTTTCTGTAAGTCTGTCGTATATCAATTATAGTGCTTATTTTTTAAATGATGACTAACATCTGGTAAAAATAACATTGGATTCCTACCCCACATCTTATGGGGTAAATTGCATATCGATTAAGCACTTAATTGTTAAAAAAGAAACCACAAATGTTTGAGGAGAAAATGCGGAGAAATAATTTTTATTTTAAGAGTGTTTCAAGCATGATATGCAACCCAGAAGCTACCAAAGAAAATATTGATGAATCTGACTACATTGAAATAAAACAATTCTCCATGGCAAAACTTGCCATAAACAACATCAGAAGACACATAGTGAGCCAGGAAAAAGAGTTACAATTCCCACTACAGGCAGTTGAATTCCTTTAATACGTATATTAAAAATGGCTTATAATCAATAGAAGCTAAGAGCCACAGGCAAATAGAAAAAATGGGGAAGAAAAAGAATATGAACGAACAGTGCAAAAAATAAAAATGTCTTTTAAAATAGGAAAAGAAAGTCAACTTCACTCACAGAGAAGTACAAATTAAAATTATGCTGAGACACCGCATTTCTACCAAATCGAGGACAATCTGACAGCCCCGTGTTGGTGAAGATGTGGAGGACAAGTAGGTATTTTCATTTATTCCAGACGGGGAACACTTGAGTGCTAGAATAAAGATGGAAAGTAACATGTGAATAACTAACAAAATAACTAAGACAATTTAAAATGCACAACCCCAGGGTGTCTGGGTGACTCAGTCGGTTAAGCATCTGCCTTTGGCTCAGGTCATGATCCCAGGTTTCTGGGATTAAGCCCCACATTGGGCTCCCTGCTCCGCGGGGACCTGCTTCTCCCTCTCCCTCTGCACCTCCCCTGGCTCGTGCTCCCTCCCTCTCTCTCAAATAAATAAAAAAATCTGAAAAAAAAGAAAGTGCACAAACCCACTGACCCTAATTACACAGATGCCAAATACCATGTAGGTAAGGAAGGATATTTATTTCAGTATTGGTTGTAATGGCCACAGATCAGAAACCATCTAAATGCCCTTCAACAGGGACTTGTTCAGTAAGTGATGGCGTCTAGCAGCACCTGGGTGGCTCAGTCAGTTAAGTGTCCGACTCTAGGTTTTGGCTTGGGTCATGATCTCAGTGTCCTGGGATCGAGCCCTCTGTTGGACTCCATGCTCTGCAGAAAGTCTGCTTGAAGATTCTCTCTTTCCCTCTCCCTCTGTCCTCCCGTCCTGCCCCACTCGCATGCTCTTTCTAAAATAAATACATAAATCTTTTTTTTTTTAAGTAGGAGATAACACACACATGTGCTTGCTATCCCACGTATACTTAGAATATCTCTGTAAGGAGAAATGGATCTGATAAAGGCTGTTGCCTCTGGGTGGGTTTAGAGGCAGGGTTCTTGGGTCAGACTATTCTTTTACACCCTTTGAATTTTGAACCAGGTATTTCATTTTTTTTAAAGATTTTATTTATTTATTTGACAGAGACACAGCGAGATAGGGAACACAAGCAGGGGGAGTGGGAGAGGGAGAAGCAGGCTTCCCGCTGAGCAGGGAGCCTGATGTGGGGCTCGATCCCAGGACCCCAGGACCATGACCTGAGCCAAAGGCAGACGCTCAATGACTGAGCCATCCGGGCGCCCCGATATTTCATATTTTAAAGTGTAAACAAAATTAATGCGTAAAATAGTTAAGAAGACTGTAGCAAATGGAAAACAGGTGTCATCCAATGTGAAATGGGAACAGCAGGATACCGAATCGTCTGTTTCTCAGTGCTGTGGTCGTCTCTGCAATTGGGCAGTGAGAACTTGAGAAGTCTGTGTTGTTGCGTTTTGTTGCTCTTCACTTTGGGGTATTTTCCAGTGATGGTGGTGGTGGTGGAGAAGGTGCCTACCCCCATCCCCTCCACCAGTCACCCCATTCTGAGATCCAGGCTGCTGACCATCAAACTTTGGGGAAATATGGAGTGAGCAGGCACGTTCCCCATCCCAGTTTACCTCTGGCTCCTGCTGCAGTCCCTCCATCACTGCAGGGAGGTGGTGGCCTCCGTCCCCTTGGTGCAGAAGTTTCCGACTCTCTCAGGACACCCCAGTTCAGATTTCCCAAGTGGTCCTCCCCACTTGTCCCTCAGCCCCCAGCCTTCTGAGACCTCCGTGCTCCTCAAGCTCCGCAGCTCAGGGCCAAGATCACTAACGAGACTCTGGGGCTTTGGATGAAGCCAGACCCCTAAGTGGGCCCTGGGAAACCTATTAAGTCGCTCTTTGCTTATGGCGAGCGTCCCTGGGAACCGAGGCGGAGATCACGGGAGAAGAGGGGGAACGATGTGGTACAGCCGGGATGCCCCCTATTTTCTACCAAGTCCTTCTACAGTCCACTGCTACTTTATGATTTGTATCCACAGAGGAACTGCTATTTGATCTGGGCTGTGAAGAGTGAGTAGCTTTCCAGGTGGGGAGGGACGCTCTGATGTGGAGAAGGTGCGCGCGGTCAGGGAGAGGTGGGAGATGGGTGGTACATGCGGGCGCGGACTGCTGCGTGGCTTGTGGGGGAAGGCGTGGCCAGGAGATGAGGGACCGACAAGGCCTGCAGGGTCTGTGTTGCGATAGCCGGAACTTGCCCTTCTTCCGCCCAGGATTCAGGTCACCTACGCAGCCCAGACTGGATCTCTCCCCTCCCAGGCATCACTGCTGGGACGCATATTCCCCCATCCGGGACAGCAGGGTGAGCAAGGCACCCAGACAGCCAAGATGCTGAGGATTTACTTCAGGCTGCCATTTAGGGTCTGGTGGCCCCAAGTCTGGCTTGAATGAATGAGTTTTCAAATTTTGGTCTTTTTTCTCCAAGGATGCCATGGAAGATCAGGTGTGGGTGCCAGAGACTGAGTGCAAAGCCCCTGCTGGAATTCACCAGCTTTATTTTTTTTTTAAGATTTTATTTATTTATTTGACAGAGACAGCGAGAGAGGGAACACAAGCAGGGGGAGTGGGAGAGGGAGAAGCAGGCTTCCCGCTGAGCAGGGAGCCTGATGCGGGGCTCGATCCCAAGACCCTGGGATCAGGACCAGAGCCGAAGGCAGATGCTTAATGACTGAGCCACCCAGGCGCCCCAGGAATTCACCAGCTTTAAACCCATGTTTTCAGTAGAGAGGAAATCCTGCAAGGAGGGGGGGTCTCAGGTCCAAAAGCCTGAGGGACATAGGAGACTGTCCTCTGCTGTCTGTCTCTCTGTCTCTTGTCTGTCTGTCTCTCCGTCTCTGTTTCTCTGTCTCTGTCCTTCTCTTCCTTCGTTTCTTTTTCTCCCTCTCTGTCTCTGTCTGGGCCTCTTGGCCCAGAGCCTGATGAACCCCCTGGGGGGGATGCTCTGCCAAAGGCGCGTGTCTTCCCTCCCGCTCTGCCTGCCGCTGCCCTCAGCATTTCCCTCTGCCTGTCCCTCGTCGTGTGCCTCCTTCCGTTTCTGCACCTCAGTCTGCTTCCTTCTCTCTCCTCCAGCCCCCTTTCCGTTTCCCCCTCGCCTGGGTGGGGAAGCACCCACAGACAAGGCAGACAGAAGAGCACGGACTTCGAAATCAGACAGACCTGGGGACCTCTAGCTAAGGGGAGACGCTGTTTGACTCCCCCAAGTCTCAGCTCCTGCATCTGTAAATTAACAGTAATGGTGACGTGCCTCCCTCACAGCAGCCTCATAAAGATCCAATAATGCCGGGCATGGGGCGTGTTTAGAGCACGCCTTCAGGGCTGGATGCGTGGCAGTGACTGTCACAGGGGGGTCGTCGCTGTGGTTCTCCTCCCCCCCCTGCCCCGCCCCTTGGCTTTTGGAGGGAATACGGGGCTGTTGCCAACAAAGGGAAGTTGGAGGCTATGTCTGTGTCCCCGGGGCAACTTTCCAGGAGGCCTTGGCGGAAGAGCTGCAGGGAGGCTTTGGGGAAGAGAAAGCAAGGCCAGGCACTTGCAGGCTTCAGGGTCTTGGCCTCAGGGCAGAGAGGCCAGGTGACACTGGTCAGCCGCCTGCCTCCACCTTCCCGGTCCGCGCACATCCCTCTCCTCTCTGCCACTCGCTGTCTGATGTCTCCAGAGATCTTCAGCCAGGGCGGAATGTCACCCACACGCGGGGAGCAGGAAGCACAGGTCAGGAGTGAGCATGTGCTGATACGTTGGCGATCCGTTCCATACGGTTCCTGCATTTAGGCAGGGCTGTGCCAGGTGCTTTCTGGACCTGCTGCCAGCCCGTCATCATGACCGAGGAGGCTGCTGGTGCCTCACGAGATTCAGACTCGGAGCTGTCTCTGCTGGTCGGTGAAACAGCTGAGAACAGGTGTGTGTGAACCCCAAGGCCCTGTTTGTGCCACTGGGCCATTCTGGCTCCAAGAGACACAAAGGATGGGCTTCCGCTGGGGAGAGAACTATGACATTACATCCCGGGGCACTCCCGGGGCCCCCCACTGTGCCCCGCACACTGCAAATGGACACACACACATACACACACAGTGGCAAGGCTGGAAAGAGCTGTTTTGATATGTACACACTGGTCTGAGGCTCTTCGAATATCCGTAAATGGACGCCAACCGTTAGGCCTAGTCTAACGCCTCCCTTCCTGATAGTGTTCCAGATTCACCTGATGCCCTTCAAAGTCCCTCATAGGCTCTTGAAACATCAAGATATCTTTAAAAAACAGCTTACCTTGGGCGTGCAAGCATAACCACACACACACAACTTTCGGTAGAACCGTACAATATCAGAACTTGAAGAAACTCTAAAGGTCATCTGGTCCAAGTCTCCTCTCACAGGGGAGGAACCAGACTGATACGTGGTGGCCCACTCGCCGTCACACAGCAGATGGTCAGGGACGGGGTTCGCGGTTCACAGGCGGTGCGTTGGCGTGGGCTCTGTAGAAATGGCCTCGAGGCACCAGCAGCCTCCTGTGAGGAGAGGGAGCACGGGTTAAAGAGGAAGGAGCAGCTAGAGGGAGGATGGGGTGCGCACGGCCGCATCAGCACTGGCCTCAGGGCCATCCACTGCATGCTTATGCGCTGAGGCTGGGAGGCAGCCATTCGGCCTGGCCCGCTGAGGCTCCTTGGGGACGGTGAGCTTGACTGAGGCTTCTGAGCAGTGCAGTTTTAAGGACTGGGGTGTGTGAAGAGAAAGATAAGAAGAATATGCCTCTTAGTTGAGTGAATGAAGGGGATGGCAGGATCTCTGACGGCGGGGCGGCCAGCCCAACAGGACTCTGGTAGTTTGGGGGGGCACCGGCCCTGAAGATTTCTGAGAGCACGGATCCCATCTCGGGATGAGACTGATGACACATGCTGAGGAGCACTTTAGGGGAGGAACCAACAGAAGGTGGGGACAACTGTCTGTCGCCAAGGGGTGAGGCCTTTCCAGGACCAGAAACTCAGGGACATCATAGGGACACAGACAGGAGGCATACCTTTGGGAGAAATGAGGATTAATCCCCTCGCTTACAATAATTCAGCAAACAACAGACATGACTCAAACCTTCCATTCCCGGAGCCTGAGTTTAGTGGAGTTGCCATGACAACGGTGGGATGGGAGGATGACACCTGGGAGGCAGGGGTCCTCACCCACACATAGCGTGTGATGTCAGCCCAGCTCTTCCCTGTAGGGAATGTGGGGACTGCAGGGCGTCCCAGGAAGCCCCCTGCCCCCATGTGCAGGGACAGGTCTGCTCAGGACAGGGGAGTCACGCTCTCCACATGGAGCCCGTGGTACCAGCATGCGGGAGACAAAGCCAGAAGTCACACTTGAAGGGGACTTTGGACGTAACCCCAGGGGCAAAGAAGGGAGAGTTAAGCCAAGAATTGTCAGCTGACGTTTGGGGGTCATTCAGGTGGGTGGTGCTGGAGGCAGGAGCGCAGGCTGGGGTCCACTGTGATTACTGGCGGGGAGAGGAAACTGGAGAGGTGAGAGAACAGGGAAGTGCTCCGGGAGGTGTGTGGTGCACCTGCCCAGTCTTCCTGTGGGGTACAGGAGGGGGGCGCATCCACAGTGACTTCTGACTCTGGAAATGGGCCCGGGGCTAGCTCCATTCACAGAAGGTCAAGGAAGTTTCCTCGAGAAATGACGCCGTAGTTCGGGACAGGTTGAATTGGAAGTGTGGGCGCGGCACGTGGGTGGCAGGGCTGAGGGTCTTCAGCTCAGAGAAGGCAGTGGGTCTGCGGGGGGGCTGGGGCTGAACGTCGCAGCTTGGGCCTAGGGCATGTCCACCATAACACGGGGCAGGTGCGCATCTTCCCTGGGACGGAGCCAGAGAGAACAGGCAGGCCCAGGATGACCATGGGGGTGTCCTGAGTCCAGCTGATGGGAGAGCGGGAAAATACAAATAAGACAACAGCCAGGGCAGGTGAGGACAGGAGGGCGTCTGGTCTATCCACAGAGAGCCCCGGCCTGGGTGAGTGCAGGGGGTAGGACGGGCCTCTGCGGACAGGAGACTCCAGTGCTGCTCCAGCCCCTCACCTGGGACTTTGTCCCAGGAGCAACCATCTCCATACCCCAGAACCAGCCACTCGGGAAAGCCTGTCCCTTCAGAAATCTGACCCCTCAGGCCACTGTCCACTCAGATGTCCATCCCCACCTTCCTCCCTGAAGGCTGGCCCCTCGGGTGCAGGGGCTGTGGGCTCAGAATGCTGGCCAAATCTGGGGGTTGGGTGGACAGGTGTGCAGAGACACCTGGGTGCCTGGAAGAGCATGGGGCATGGAGGCCAGAGGGAGAGCAGGGGGTGGCTCCAGACATCTGAATTCCTGGGGGACACTGGGCTGGGGGCAACAAGGGGCAGAGAGCGCTGGCTTGGGGAGAAAGCCTGGTGTCCCCGGTGGAGGGGGTGTGGGGACCATCCGTGTGTTTTCTGGGAGGCATGTGTCACCGCGATCCTCCTCTCTGGCCCATGCACCTGTCCTCCCACAGGTCCCGACATGAGCCCCTGGCCCGAGTCCAACTGGACCACCCCGCAGGAGTTCGTGATCCTGGGATTCTCCGGGTGGCCCCAGGGGCTGCAGCAGCTGCTTTTCGCCTTCCTCCTGCCGCTCTATCTGGCCACGCTGGCCGGAAACCTGCTCATCCTGGGCCTGGCTGTCGTGGACCCTGCCCTGTACACTCCCATGTACTTCTTTCTGGGGGCACTGTCCACTGTGGAGGTGGCCTACACGCTGGTGCTGACCCCGCGCATGCTCGCTGGCTTCCTGCTGCCGCCAGGGGGCCAGGTGGTGGCCCGATCCACCTGCGCTGCCCAAATGGGCCTCTTTGTGGCCCTGGGCGGCTCCGAGTGCCTGCTGCTGGCCGCTATGGCCCTGGACCGCTACCTGGCCATCTGCCGCCCCCTCTACTACCCCCAGCTCATGACCACGGGGCTCTGCTGGTGCCTTCTCACCTCCTGCTGTGCTGGGGGCTCTGTCCTGGCCTTGGGGCTCACCACGGCCATTTTCCAGCTGCCCTTCTGCCAGGGGGCCTCAGTCAACCACGTCTTCTGTGACCTCCCGGCGGTGTTGGTGCTGGCCTGTGGGAACCACCAGCTGCAGGAGCAGGTCCTGCTGGCAGCTTGCCTGTTGCTGCTGGTGCTGCCCCTGGCCCTGATCCTGCTGTCCTACATCAGGGTGCTGGTGGTCATCCTGGGCGCTGGGGGGCCTGCAGGCCGCCACAAGGCCTTCAACACCATGGCGTCGCACCTCACGGTGGCTGTGCTTCACTACGGCTGCGCCACAGCCATGTACGCCAGGCCCCTGAGCGGCCGCTCCCTCGAGGAGGACAAGCTTGTCTCGCTCATCTACATCAGCTTCACACCGCTGCTCTACCCCGCCATCTACACGCTGCGGAATCGGGATGTGCAGCGCGCCCTGCAGCGGGCGGTCAGCAGCAGGACGGCAGGGTCTGCCCCCCAGGCTGACGTCAGCTAACAGTGTGAGCCAGGCGGTGTCTGTCCTGAAATTGCCCTCACTGAGGGGAACCTCACCATTCCAGAGCCCTCTGTGGCTCCCGGGGATGGGCTGGACAGAAACCTGAGTACAGCATATCAGGACTCCAAAATTGGACCTCAGCCTAGTTCTTCGGCATCTGTGGACATTTCAAGCTGAACAGTTCTCGTTGGTGGCCATGCGCTGTGGGATGTTCTGCGGCCCTTGTCTCTGCCCAGTAGATGCCAGTAACACACCACCGCTCCCCCGCAGTTGAGATGACCAAAACTGTCACCCAACATGGCCAAACGTCACCTGAGGGGCAAGGTCAGCCCTGGTGGAGAACAGCTGCACTGAACTCTGGCCACACAGTATCCGCTGAAGAGAAACGAGTGCTCCTATACAAGAAGTTTACGGCTGCATTATTGATAACAGACAAAAACTGGAAACGAGCCAAATGTTCATGGACATGGGCTAGACACAGAGATGGGGCGCCTGGGTGACTCCGTTGGTTGGGCGTCTGACACTTGATCTCGGCTCAGGTCATGATCCCAGCATCGTGAGTTCAAGCCCCACATTGGGCTCCGTGCTGGGAGTGGAGCCTACTTTAAAAAAAGCAGGGGGGGGCACCTCAGTGACTCCATCGGTTAAGCATCCAACTCTTGATTTCGGCTCAGGTCATGATCTCAGGGTCATGAGATCGAGCCCCCACGTTGGGCTGCACACTGGGTGTGGAGTCTGCTTAAGATTCTCTCTCTCCCTCCCGCTCTGCCCTTCCCCCGCCCCATTCTCTTTCTCTTAAAAAGAAAAAAAAAAAGAATAGACACCAACAACCTGTGGCATATTCATGTGAGGGAATTGTACACAGCAATGAGAAAGAGAAGTCTTCCTGTTGGCAGACACAAACAGACATAATACTGAGTATGAGAAGCGAGACACCAAATGCCTCCCTGCTCGTAAGACCAATGACAGACTCATCTGTGGTGGTTGATATCGTAAGAGGGGTCACCTGGGAGAAGGGTCTGGGTGGGCATGGGCCCCACTGGAGAAGTTCCATATTCTGATCTGGCTGGGAATGACATGGGTATCCGTGTGTGCAAATCTTCAGCCAGATGCTTACTTCAGATCTGAGCACTTTGCTGTCCCTAAAGTAAACCACAGCTGGTTCAACCGTTGCCAAGTAAGGCAAGCCGTCGGGACCGCCGTGCCCTTGCTCATGCTGCTTTATTTCCCTGGTACTCTCTTCCTCTCGTTCCACCTACAAAAACGCCTTCCTCCTCTCAATGACAATGGCTGCGACTCCTAAATATAATTTTAGCATCTGCTTCACTTCCCACTCACCTACCCACGCCTCCCACGCAACTATACAGTGAGCTCTTTAAAGCCAGACCTTAGACCCTGTTCTTCTAGTTCCAGATCTATGAACTTGGTAGTTCTTGATAAGTATTTGATGGGAGGAACAAACCATAGACGAGCTCCTGGGTTCTCTGGGGGTCTTACATATGGGCTATAGGCCCAGGGCATAGCATAGCTCTGGAGTCCTACCAAGGGCAAGAATCTGTCAGACCGAGTCCTCCTCTGGGGTCTGTTCTCAGTGTCAGAGCGGGCTGACAACCTCGGCTGGCAAATTCTTGGGCCCAATTTACCAATCAATGCAAGGAGCCTCAGAAGCTGCAGGCTTGTAACTTGGCATCCTAACTGCATTCAGAAAACGCAGCAGACCTGATTGTACCAGGGCCCCGAGTCCCAGATGGTGCGGGAGGGAACTCTTCCGAAAAACATCCCCCCCGCCCTATAGAGTCCCATTCAGACACCAAAATTCTGAGAGGCAGAATCAGTGCAGGTGGATCTTGCCCACCTGGCCCCTTGGCGGGGAAATGGCCCACCTACAGGGGCTGCCTCGGAGCCCAGGAAGAAGGGAATATGTGCAGGCCACATGCGGCTTCAAGAATTGGTCACCAGCTGCCTCAGACGACTCGTGACAGGGTCTCCGTCCTTCCATCCACCCACCCACCTGCCCATGCCACCTGCTTTCTCACCTCCTGTGTCTCCCTCAGGCCGGTGCTAGGAGGTGAACCGGATGTCCCGATGTGCACAGAAGTTCTGGCTGGAGGCCCGAGATGCGCCACCTCTCTCCAAATCCACCAGGTAGACAGTCTTGTATTCTGAAGGGGCACCCGGTGCTCAGCTGTCTGTGGTTGTGTGTGGGGCTGATTTTGCTCCAGCTGGGCTCCGGAGCTGGGGTTAGGCTCAGGAGGGGCGCTCCACCAGCAATCCTGCGACACAGGCTGCACCCCATTAGAGTGGGAGCCACAACCGAGGAGCCATCTGCATTTGACCAGCTCACAGCCCTCCCTGGGGCGAAGACAGGGGTGGGTGTGGTTGATTCTGAGCTGTCACCGGTTCATCTCAGGCGGGGACAGGGCGCACCTGTGTCTGCGGCAGTAGCCCTGGGTCCCTGGGTCCCCGTGAACGGTTAGGCATGGTGGGCCCCTGGCCACATCTCCTGGGGCGGGCAGCAGGTCAGAGCCGGCTGGCCCTCCTAACCCCCCCTGTTGCACGAAGGCTTTTAGAACATGGCGAGTCTTGAGACACATAAAATTTCGAGTTTTGGGTTCTTTTTTCATTTATTTATTGAGATATAAGTGACATGTAACATGACATTGATTTCAGGTGTACAACACGACTCTATAGATGCACATATTGTAAAATGATCACAGGAAGTATAGTTAACATCATCTCACATTTGCCACATTTCCCCCCTTGTGATGAGAACTTTAAAGATTGACTCCCTTAGCAGCTTTCAAACACGCAATAGTCTCCAGTTTCTGATTCTCTACCATCCCCCATCTGACCTTACAGACTCTTACTGGAAAGATCTGCAGTGGATGTCCCCCCGTGGCCACTTCCCTCTGCAGGGTGTCCCAGCTGGCCTCCCCAGGATAGGAGTGACTTGCAGCAACATGACAGTGACAGGCGGACCCCCAGGCCCCCAGTCCTGACGCGTCGGCACTCTGCAGGGTGACCAGCCCAGGGCCACGTCTGTGAGCTTTGACTTTAGCAAGGAGGTTGCTAACTTGCTCGGGCCTTGTAGGTGGTGCTTGGACCACTGACATCAGGCCACTAGATCCTGTGCAACCATGTGCCAAGGGTGGGATCCGCAATATCCCACGGGGTCAAGGGACAAAGTGTACAGGAACAGAGGGAGTGCAGGCCCTGCCGCATCTACCTTTGCAGGGAGCTATGCTTTCCCCAAGCGCAAGGGCCCCTATGGCGCCAGGCAGGACTGGGAGTCCCAGGGCCACTTGTGAGCACAGCTCGCAGGGAAGGGGAGTCTCTCTGGCCTCTAAGGGCACACGGGGTCCGGCAGGGTCGCCACTCCTGTTCTGGCCATTACCCCATGCAACAGGTCCTCAGAGTCTCGGCCGGGCAGGTGCTCAGAGTGGGGAAGCTCACTCGAAATCCAACACCTGCTGGGGGAACTAGCCCTCTGCAGGGCGTTAACAGGTGAAAGACAGACCCGCAGCATCTCAAAGCAGCCCCCGTGGCCATCCTCCCAGGTCCAGGAGGACTCTGGTTGCTTCTTTCCCAGCTTGCACTTTGGGATGGAAAGGAGCAGCACTCTGCAGGATCAGTAGCTGCAGAGCAAAGCCAGCACCCACGGAGGCCAGTAAGCGTGGGGCCCCCAGAGGGGACGGCCTGTTCCTGTGGCCAGTTGTTATGACTTTGTTAAACTAACACTTGTTAAGGTGGTCAGCGGGTTCGACAGCAGGCCCCAGGAGAAATGGAAACAGAGACGTTTATTATTCATAGGGCCCCGGGGGGGAGGAGTACACAGCAGGCCTGGAGGGGCCACATGGGACGACGGCAAGGCAGAAAGCAGACAGAGACTGGACCTGGGGCACGTGACTTTATTAGGGTCCATAGGCTAGGACCACGCTGGTCAATGCAAACCAGAAAAAAGCAGGGTTTAGGCAAGCGCCACGGGGGTCTTGGCTAAGGAGCACGTCAGGCCGACAGGCGCTGGCGAGCAGGGGAGTCTGCAACTCGCAACATGTGGGAGAAGCCACATGGGGACCACACATCTGCTGGTGGCCTTACGGCTGCAATTGGGGGGCCAGCATCAGGGTCGGATCCCCGCAGACCGCTAGGCCAGACAACGCAGGGGCGGAGCAGCTTAGCCAGCTCTCGACAGGTGTGTATCTAAGATGCGAATTCACCATTTATCCACCTGGGCATATGCTGTGCTGCCTGAATCTGTGAGCTCACGTCTTGTCAAATCCAAGCCGGGTTTTCTTTGAATATTTACTTGTCTTCCTCTAGTCTGCCTTTTAGGAACTCCTCGCTCTTCTTGTTTTAATCTAGATGCTTCTCTGTAGACTGACTCCTAGGAATCTGCTTTGCTCTACTCTGTTCACTTTCTCTGCAGCTGAGTATTGCCTACCACTGGGCTTTCCGCTCAGCATTTTGATGTTCACGTTGCAATGCCTGTATTTCTCTGTGTTCCCCTTTCCAAAGAGACCAGTTATCTAGCTTTGTGCCTTGCTTTCACGTGGTTTTAAGTTTTTGCTTTTAATCATTTGTGAAGGTAGTTATTTTTATAGAATTTTGTGTATCTACGACCCTAAAATCCTGGACGTTATTTTGCTCAAGTGTCTGTTGACTCTCTTGCTGTGGATTGGTCCTTCATGTTGCGCAGTTTGGGATTATGAAGTCATGTTGGGTTTGTATGTCAGAAGCCTGACAAATGTGGGTTGAGGGTGTCTCCCTCCAAAATGTATTTTGTTTGCTTCTGTCATTTGTTTCAAAGACAGGGAAATTTCTATATTGACTAGTTTTAAGACTGGGACAGGAATAGGGGAAATTCCAAATTTTGAGTCACACGGGATGCTGGCCAGGGCTCATGAATCATCGGGGTAAATCTTTCCCCATCAGAGCCCAAAGGAGAGACAGACAAGCTTTCTGCATGAGATTTTTCGCTAGTCCACCCTCTTTCCCTGTACCTACAGACTTCTGAAATTTCTGAATTTGTAAGTTACTTCAGTACCCACTCTCTGCCTTGTGTGCCCCAAGGCCTCGCCTCATGTCCTCCTTTGGTCTCGAAAACCCAAGCTTCGGGGTAAACCCAGTCAAACCCACAGGGCAGCTACAGCTTCGGCCCTCCACCTGCATCTTTGGCTCTCCGTTCAGCTTACCTCGCTGGCACCCGGAGACTCCACTGGTTTTCTTGCCAGCTGAACTATGCATTTAAAAGAATGTTATCTATTACTGGTCACCATTTCTGGTCGTTTACGGTGGAATGGCTTTTGCCTCAGGTGGTCCGCCATTTTGCCAGAAAAGGGAGTTCTAACCTTACACAAAATGAAACCTAATTATGAGCCAGTTGGTGGAGAGATCCTCAGGAGATGTCAAGAAATCGCTGGTTTTCAGATCCAGCAAGTAAACAAAAAATGGAATGGGATGTTGGTATGATGTCTGGAGTCCTGGTTTAATAATAAGCTCTTATTGTTCTGGGCAGAGTGTACATCACAGAGACAAAAAGGTATGATTTCATGTGAGACATCCTGATAGAGGTCATTCTGTATATTCCGGTGTGTATGCCTAACAAGTTCACACTTATGTTCAATTACCAATGTGGCTTAAAAATAAATCAGATTCTTTCTAGGCAGCATCCTCAGGAACCCCTATATGCTCCCTGGGATTGCTCTGATGTTTATTAGATCTGTTGTCTTAATGATTTAATTTATTCACAGACTTCAAAGCTCCATAGCCACAGTTAATGCAGATAGATAGACTTTATAATGAGGCATAGCCATAAAAATATATCACTCTAGAGCATCATTACCCTCCTGTCATGGTTTTGAGAGACAGGCTCTTCCTAATTCTCCAGACTGGTCGAATTTCACCTCGGTATGCATCCCTTGCACACCCATGGCACTGGACTTCCTGCGGAAGGGTTTTCCACACTCACAACATCCAGAGGTGTGACATTCGTGGACGTTCCATGACTCGGGCTGAAGGCCAGCTCTCCTTTCACCCATACAGCTTCTCCCGGGTGTGGATTCTGTGGTGGCGGATGAGGTTGGCCTTCTGGGAGAAGGTCTTCCCACACTCGGAGCACTCGTAGGGCTTCTTGCCCATGTGAGTTCGCTTGTGTATAATGAGGCAGGAGTTCTGCGAGAAGGCTTTCCCACACTCGCTGCACTTGTACGGCTTCTCGCCCGTGTGAGTCCTCTGGTGCAGGATGAGGTGCGACTTCTGGAAGAAGGCCTTCCCACACTCGCCGCAGCCATAGGGCTTCTCCCCGGTGTGGATGCGGTGGTGGATGATGAGGCACGACTTGCGCGAGAAAGACTTCCCACACTCTTTGCAGCCGTAGGGCTTCTCCCCCGTGTGAGACCGGTGGTGCTCGATGAGGCGGGACTTGTGGGAGAACATCTTCTCGCACTCGGAGCACTTGTAGGGCTTTCCTCCAGCAAGAGCTGCAGCAGGCACCGACAGGCTCGTCTTCTGAGATGGCGTTGTCCTGCCGTGGCCGTCTCCCCTGGGTTTCTCTCTGGGGTGACCTCCCCGGCTAACCCTGCAGCCGAGCCCCTGTGTCCCGTGCACAGAGGGCTGCTTGCCCCCGTGTACCCCCAGGTGTGCACTGAGTTCCGATTCACAGGAGAAGCCTTTCCCACACTGCGGGCACCTGTGGGCTCTCTCGGCGCCGCCAGCTCCCCGGTGGGCACTCAGGGTCTGGTCCTGGTGGAGGGCTTTCCTGCACTGGTCACACTCACGAGGCCGCACTCCGGAAGGGGGAGTTTCGAGCTTGGAGTAGAGAAACAAGTTCCCCTGTCCGTCACACTCAAATCTCCTTCTCGCAAGGTAGGCATTGGGACTAACATCCACTTTGCACGGCAGACTCATTCCACATGAGTCACATGTATGGACCTGCTGTTTTGAAGGAGCAAGGTCTGTGTCCTGACAGACTGTCTTTTCAATTGTGTTACACTCGTGGTGCCCTTTCTTGGTTGGTTCTTGCTTGTCTAGGAATGTAATGTGCCTCAGAAGTTTGTCTTGGTGTTCCTGTTGTCTACCTACTGGGCGGTCAACTTGCAAAATTTCTTCTAGGGAAAAAAAAATGACACAAACTTGTTAATCTTTCCAGGATCACGTCACAGAACTAAATGATTTCAGAAACACTTAGGAGGAAGATTAACTTTGTGGTTTCAGACCTCATTGCCGAGAATCAATCATCACAATCATAAGCCTACTACAAACATGTCCTAGTCCCTTAGCTTTTTTTTTTTTTTTTTAAAGATTTACTTATTTATTTTAGAGAGCAAGTAAGCATGAGTGGGAGAGCCAGAGGGAGAGAGAATCCCAAGCAGACTCCGCACTGAGCACGGAGCCCAACACAGGGCTCGATCACACAACCCAAGCTGAAATCAAGAATCGGATGCCCAACTGACTGAGCCACCCAGGCGCCCCATCCCTTGGCATTTGAAAGGAAAAAATGGGATACTGGAAAGAGGGATAAAACATGAACACTAAATATAAGTAGCTTTGCTATTAACGAGTATGACACAGTCAATTGGGAAGAAGATGAAGACACACAAGTAAAAGGGAGTGAGAGAAAAACTGGAAAGATAGTGGGCATGTTGCTGTCCACGTCACTGTGGCAAACACGCTGAGATTCTTAAATGTCAGATTCTGCATCCCGTGCTTGGATCCTCATTTGCTTTTAGCTTCTTTTACATTTTAAACCACAAACTGTACCTGTGTTTCACCTCTCACACCCACAACCAAAGCAACCAAGGAGCTCCTCGGTTTAGAAATGTTGAAGTTCCTTGAGTCCCATAGCTGAATTCCTAAGGGACAAAATCAATGCCTACTAATCTTCCACCCTGCCTACACCCGGGTGTTCTGGGTTGGGACCCAGCTAGGGGGTGTTTTTAAAGCTCCCTAGGTGATTCTGGTCTGCACCCCTGATTAGTAACATTGTCCCTGAAACAAATACTTGATAAAAGACCCTGGAAGGATAAAAGGTCCTGGAAGGAAGAGGAAGTTAGTCAGTGTCCATGATGTGTGTCCCACAGAATAAGGACAAATAAGATAAACGCTCTTCTCCCCATGGGATTATACTGGGGTGAGGAGAAAGGAGTTTCATTTATGACCTATTAAGGCAAATGGGGCCATATTACATGTTTTGAAAGAAGAGGCATTTAAAGTCACATAAAAGGGAGAAATTAAGTTTTTGAGGCATTTCACAGTAAAAGAAAAGACAACAAAAATAAAAATGAGGGGCACAAAATAAGTTATTTTAAAATAGGGGCGATCTACAAATCCCTGAAAACATGGGAAAGTCTGTTTCGTAACCATGGGAGAAATCAGACTGAAGATTCTAGAGAAAAACTGAGCAAGCAAGGTCTCAGATGGGGACACTCGAGTCGAATAAAAGAATAAATAAAAATAGGTCTTTTTCTAAAACCCAGGGAAAGGAGAGTGATCATGTAGTGATGTGTGATGTGTGTAGGTAGTAGGAGTCATTTGGGGCAACTCAAGGTCTCAGGCCAAACGTCCACAGCTGCTTGCAAAGATCCAAGGCCTGAAACAAAAACCCACCCGAAGTTCTGCTCTGTGACCAACCAGATGTCCACTGCCGCCCCCCCACCGCCCGGGGCCCCCTGGCTGCAAGCTGCTCCTCTCTCACCTGGAAAGCTCCATCTGAGGATTTCTTCCTCCTCCATCCATGGTTCTTGCCCTTGCTCCAACCTGGAGATCACAGCTGGTTTGGTGACTTGACACCCTGTTGATGAGAAATATCCCTGGTTATGAGGATTTATGCTGAGCCACTTGGGCCATCTAAGGAAGCAGAAGGTTTGGGTGGCTCAATGAACATTTACATCTTGGTTGAAGAAGGGGTATCTCACTTGGGAGATAAATTCACAAATAAAGTGGGTGAGATGAGAGCCAGACTTGTTGACAACTGAAACCCAAGGCCAAACATGCTTGGTCCTTGAGAGGTTTTGCATAACTGAGAAAAGAAAGGAGTTCAGACAGAACCAGGAAACACGGGAAGCTCTCCTCACCCACTGAGACCAGGTGGCTGTAGTTCTCCAGCATCACGTCCCGGTACAGTGTCCTCTGTGTGGGGTCCAGCTGCTGCCATTCCTTTCGGGTGAAGCCCACGGCCACGTCTCTGAATGACAGTGACCCCTGGAACAACATGTTTCTGATTAATCTGGAATGTCTGGCATGGAGTACCATGGCAAAGGTGTAGAGGTGGTGGATCTTACCACCTTCGATGTCAGGTTTCCCCATGTTAAGTGATTTAGGAAGCTTAGCATGCCCCTAACTCTGTACTACATTTTATGGAAGAAAAGAAAAAGATCATTAGAAAAGATCTCACTCCTGGATCTCTATTTATTCATCCATTCATTCATTCAGTGCGTGAACATCTATAGATTTGGTAGGTTAATGGCATTCCACCTGGTGCTTGGGGTTGAAAGCTGAATGCAACATTACTCCTGCTCTAAAGGCATTCAGAGTCTGGTGGAGTGAGATAAACATAAGACTTCCGTATGGTATGATTACACCAGAGGCTATGATGGAAGTATATTAAGGACAGAACAGACACAAAGACGGCAGTCAAATTCAATGTCCCAATGTCAAGTTAAGCTTCACTGGAGGCTGCCTTTGAGCAGAATCATGAAAGATCAACAGCATGTCCTGATGTCTGAAGGATATTTTCTGTCAAGAGGCATAGCATGAGCAAGGGCAAGGAGGCACAAAAAAAATCTGGTAGGAATTGCAAATACTTGGGAATGACAATGTAGAATATAATGTGTGTGTATGTGTGTGAGAGAGTGAGAGAGAATAGAGAGAGCATGCAGATCACAAGACAAAGGGTTTTTCTCCTATAAGGCAATGGGGACTCCCATCACGGTATTTAAGGAGGGGAGCTACAAGAGATGATGGGATGTAGAAAAAGGTAGGGAATCACTGGGGGAGAATAAGTAAATAAAATTAGGACACAATTATAATCAATGACATGAGATATGGTCAAAATTAAGGGAGCAACAAGAGGAAAACAGAGAAAGGATTCCACAAATGCAGAACAGGGCTTGGCTCTCTTTCCCCTTCTCCTTCATCTTCTCTCTCTCTGTATGAATTAAGGACCAAAACACCAAATTAATTTATATTGAATGTGGTAATACTATAACAGTGTGTAAATCACTTTTAACACAAGTATGGAAGTTAAAAGGCAAAAACATAAGACTAACTATAATCAGATTAATGGAAACACAATATAAAAGTAAAATCTGACCTAAATAACAAAGTACGAATGTGTGAGGAAGTAAAGTGTAGAGTTGCCATATGTGATTGAAGTTATCAGGCTAAAAGAGATGGCTAAAACTAAGAAATGTTTAGTGCAAGCCTCATGGTAACCACACCAAAAAAAATCTATAATAGATACACAAAAATAAAGAGGAAAGAATCAAAACATATCACTACAAGAAATCCTCAAACCACAATAAAGAGAGGACGAAAGGAACAAAGAAACTACAGAACAGAAAACAATGAACAAAGTGGCAATAGTAAATCTTTACCTACTGGCAATTACTTTAAATGTAAATAAACTCAGCTCCAGAAATTAAAACACATAGCGTGGCTGAATGGGTAAAAAAAAAAAAACAAGACCCAATTATATGCTGTCTACAAGAGACTCACTTTAGACTTCAGGACACATACTGGGTAAAAGTGAAGGGGTGAAGAAAGACATTCCATACCATGCAAAGGTAATCAACAGAGAGCTGGTCTGGCTATACTTGTATCAGACAAAATAGCCTTTGAGTCAAATACTGTCACAAGAGACAAAGAAAGTCCTTTTATAGTTAAGAAAGGGTCCATTCAACAGGAAGATATACCATTTTTAAATACATATGCACCCAACATCAAAGGACCTAAATACATAAAGCAAACATTGACAAATCACAAGGGAGAAACAGAAAATATTACAATACTAATAAGAGACTTAAACAGCCCACTCTCAATAATGGATAGATTGTCTAGACAGAACATCAACAAGAAAACAGAAATGAGCAACACGATAGACCAAATAGTCTTAAAAGATATTTACAGAACCTTCTACCCAACAGCAGCAGAATACTCATTCTTGTCAAGAGCACACAGAATGTTCTCCAGGACGGATCATAACCTAGGTCACAAAACAAGTCTTAACAAACTTAAGAAGACTAAAATCATTCCAAGTATCTTTTCTAATCATAATGAAATGAAACTAGAAATCAATAATAGAAAGGGGAAATTAAAAAATATTGGAAATTAATATATTCTTAGACATCACTGGGTCACAGTAGAAATCAAAAAGGAGGGCGCCTGGGTGGCTCAGTCGGTTAAGCGTCTGCCTTCGGCTCAGGTCATGATCCCAGGGTCCTGGGATCGAGCCCCACATCGGGCTCCCTGCTCAGCAGGGAGCCTGCTTCTCCCTCTCCCACTCCCCCTGCTTGTGTTCCCTCTCTCACTGTGTCTCTCTCTGTCAAATAAATAAATAAAATCTTTGAAAAAAAAATCAAAAAGGAAATTATAAAATATTATCTTAAGACAGATGAAAACACAACAGACCAAAACTTAAGGGATACAGCAAAAGCAGTACTAAGAGGGAATTTTGTAGAAATGAACACCTACGTTAAAAAAGAAAAAAGATCTCAAATAAACAATCTAACTTTGCACCTCTAGAAAAAGAACAAACTAAGCCCCAAATTGGCAGAAGGAAATAATAAAGATTAGAGCAGAAACAAATGAGATAGGGAATAGAAAAAAATAAAACTAAGAGTTGGTTTTTTGAAATGATAAAATTGACAAACCCTTAGCTAGACTAAGAAAAAAAAAAAGAAGACTGGAATAAATAAAATCAGAAATGAAAGAGGGGACATTACAGTTGATGCCACAGAAATAAAAAAGAACTATGATATACAATTCTATGCCAACTAATTGGACAACCTAGAGAAAATAAACACAATTCTAAAAAAAAAAAAAAAAAATACAACCTACCAATACTGAATCAAGAAGATGCAGAAAGCCTGAGCACACCAGTAACACATAAAAAGAATGACGAAGTAACCAAAAAACTCTTAACAGAAAAGCCCAGGACCTTCATGAGTGAATTCTACCAAAAATTTAAACAATAGTACCAATCCTTCTTAAGTTCTTCCAAAACAGAAAAAGAGGGAACACTTCAAATTCGCTCAACAAGGCCAGCATCACTCTGATACCAAAACTAAAGACATCACACAAAAGAAGACTATAGGCCAATAACCCTGATAAACATAGATGCAAAAACCCTCAACAAAATACTAGCACATCAAATTCAACAGCACAGTAAAAGGAACAGACACCATGACTAAGTAGGGTTTATCCCTGGGATGCAAGGATGGTTCAACACATGAAAATCCATGGGAGACACCACATTGACAGAATAAGGATAAAGATCACAAAATCAGCTTCATAGCTGCATAAAAAGCATTTTGCAAACTTCAACACCCTTTCACGATTAAAAGCTCTCAGCAAAAATAGAAAGAACTTATCTCAACATGATAAAGGCCATTTATGAAAAGCCCAGAGCTAATATACTCAGTGGTGAAAGCTTTCCCTCTAAGACCTGGAACAAGGCAAGGGTGCCCGTTCTTGCCTCTCCGATTCAACACAGTACTAGAAGTCCGGCCAGAGCAATCCGGCAAGAGAAAGAAAGAAAAGGCATCCAAATCAGGAAGGAAGAAGTAATGCAGCAGCATTCACAGTAACTTAGAGATGGAAAACACCTAACGGATGATGTGGTGTATACATACTATGGAATACTGGCCACGAGAGAGAAGGAAATCCCTTCATTTTGGACAACACGGATGGACCTGGAGGGCATTATGCTTAACGAAATAAATCAGACACAGGAGGACAGATACATACACCTAGGCTCTGCCACTTACTCACTTTTATGAGGGCTCTAAAACGGCCGAACTCCTAGAACTAGAGAGCAGTGCAGTGGGTACCAGGGGCTGGAAGGGGCAGGGCAATGGGAAGGTGTTGGTTAGGGGCTCAGTGTTTGCTATGGAAGATGGGGAAGCTCTGTACCGTACAGCGTAGTGTCTATAACCACCCTGCACTGTGTACTTAGAAATTTGCTAAGAGGCATATCTTATGTTAAATGCTCCTGCCACAAAAAGAAAAAAATACATACATTCAGAAAGGGGGCTGGAGGAAACTTTTGCAGGTGATGGATTTAAGTCTGTGGTGATGGTTTCATGGATGTACACTTATCTCTAAACTCATCAAGCTGTGCCCCATTTGCATGTCAATAATACCTCAATAGAGTGGTTTTAAAAAACAGAATTTTCTAGTCACCTTTTAAGTAAAAAAGGAAATGAATTAATTTTAATAAGATCTTTTAGTCTAATATATCCAGAATATTATCATTTCAATATAGAATTATTTTAAAATTACTGATACACTTTTCATTCTTTTTCATACCATATATTTGAAACCTGGTGGGTGTTTTCCACTTTACAGTATATCTCAATTCAGACACTATATTTCCAGTTTCACTTTCATGAAATGTAGTTCTCTAAAAACAACAAACTTGTCTTTGATGGGAAAGTATTTTACTCTGATTCCGTTTTAAACTGCACCTGGGTGGTGCAGTCGATGCAGTTGAGCGTCCAACTCTTAGGTTTCAGCTCAGGTCTCATCTCAGGGTCGTGGGTTCAAGCCCCACATCAGGCTCCATGCTCCACACTCAGCGTGGAGTCTGCTTGGGTTTCTCTCTCCCTCTCTCTTGGATAAATAAATAAATCTTTAAAAAATAAGAATAAAATTTAAGTGGAAATGAAAAATTCAGGTCCCCCGCCCCACTAGCCACTCTTTAGGTGCTCAGTATCCACCTGTGGCTGCCGGCTACCATATTCGACAGCAGAAGCACTGCTGGGTTCCTCTGCTGGGGCTATGTGTAGGGCAGATAAAACTACAGTGCAGGTCAATCACTCAGGGTGACTGAACAGGCAGTTCTAGGACTGTCTGTCCGCATTCACATCCCAACTCCATTGCCTGATAGACGTGAGATCCCAGGCAACGTGCTTAGTATCTCCAGCCTCTGTTTGTCCATCTGTAAAGCAGGAGGAGGGGTTAAGAATACCTATCTCACAGGTTCATTCGTGAACTAACATATGGAAAACGCAGAGACCAGCACATAAGCGTTCAACAGGTGGAGATTTATAACTTTTATTGTCAGCGTTTCTGTTGCGGGTAGCCCTGAGGAGCAGTTCACAGTGAGGCTTGGTTTCCTGCAAAGTAACAGCTTCCCCAAAAGGCCCAGATGAAACCTCCGGCCCAATTACGGGTCCAACCACATAGAGATGCAGGCAGCTCTCTCCTCTGAGAAGGGCTGTGGAGCTGCCACCTCGTTTTCAACCCTCTCATATGGGGTTGAAATATCTGGTCCTATGCCCAGATGTTCCTGCTGTCAAACATCCAGATGGTCCCGGCTTTTTTAGGCACAGACACTCTCATTAAGACAGGTCTCCAAGCCAGAAACCAAGACCCCGAGAACGTTTTTCTTCCTGGAGTGGACAGCTATAACGTCCATCCACGAGGCCTCGGCTTCCTCCTCGGCAAGCAGGCTCCCTCCAGCGCCCCAAGCCCAGACCCTGCCTCTCGACCCTAGACGTGCACTAAGCTGGGCTAATCTGAATCTCTCCCAAAGACCGTGCAAACGGGCTCTACGAGAGGGGACTTGGTCCCTATCTCTGGCAGAACTCGTAAGTGTGGGGTGTGGGCCACGCCTGCTTCTGGCCACACGGATGACGTCACTATGAGAGAAGGAAGTCACAGACGCAGAGGCAAGGGACCGGAAAGGCTCCGGGCAACACCTGCACTCCTCGGTGTGACTGTCTCCGAGTCCCAGCTGCATACCTGCTCCTCCCACGGTCCGGGTACTGCCTAGATTTGGGTTCATCCTAAACTAGTTCTAGCTGGGTTTCTGGCTCTTGAAACGTGGATTCTGGGCCAGCACACTTCCCGTTCATGAGTTCCTGGGCCCGGGGGAAAGAGAGGGGCCCGTCACAACTAATTTGAGAATGAAGACAGGCTGGGAGCAGACGACGTCACTGAAATCTGAAGATCACAGTGGCCCCATAAGAGAGGGGGCGAAGGGCAGATGCCAAAGACAGACTGAGCTGTTCGCTCTCCATCTGTGTCAAAACACTACCCTGAAAAAGAATTGGCCGAACATGCTACTCGTTCCTTCCTCTGCACAATGCAGTGTTTCCTCTAGGTCAGTCTGACATCACAAGGCTGTTTACATAGAACCGTGGATTTTGATTCCTGAAGCAACCGCAATCACAGATTTCCGCACTGATGTAAGACCCACTGTTTCTATGGAAAGAAAAGTCACAGGAGATTTGCTGGTGCGTCTGCCGCGGTGTCGCCATTGCTGCGGACCCCACCTGCGAACCTCACATGCCAAGTCCTGTCACGTAAACTCTTCAATACCAAAAACAGCTTTATTTCCTCTAAGAAGCTGACATGCTAGTCCCAAGCAGACAACACAAGTCATATATTGGATGGAATCTGTCTTTTGAAAGTGCCGGCAACATCAGACACAAGTTTATAGAGCAGCTCCTAACTCTGCCCGCCCGGCCCTTCGCATGGCCTCCTTCTTCCACTTGCTTCCCATCCTCAGTGATCCTGGGTCCTGTGTGCATTGTTTTTACTGGATGCATTCTTAGAAGCATCCCCGAAACCCCCTGGTAAAGCAGAGTGCAGTATAAAGAAATGCCACGGGGCACCGCGGGGGGCACAGTCAGTTAAGCGTCTGACTCTTGATTTCGGCTCAGGTTGTGATCTCAGCGTTGTGAGATCGAGCCCCACGTGGGGCTCCCCACTCGGCAGGGAGTCTGTTTCTCCCTCTCCCTCTGCCCCGCCTCCTGCTCGTGCTCTCACTCTATCAAATAAATAAATCTAAAGAAATAAATAAAAGAAATGCCGTACTCACCTGGCACATGGTCCTTCCCTGACGGGCCGGGAAAAGCAGACACCTGTGGAAGCAGAGACAGGGTGGGGAGAGGACGTGAGAGACCAAGCTCGCCCCCAGCCTCTGAATCATCTGCCACCACCCCCGCCTCCAGGCACAGGGGGAGGACAGGCTTCCCCCAAGGACCCCACCATCACACAACGCCCTCGCCTTGGCATGTGATGGGGACCCAACTGTGTGAGGGTTCAATCTGGATTTTTCTTTTCTACTTAATCCACATACGTATCTGTGTCTCACTCATCAGTGTGCAATTTACTAACCCCTCCCCTCACTCCCCAGAAATTTAATAGAAATTTTTTCTGAAGAAACAGTCATGAGTTTAGGCAAAGAGTTAGCCGCCAAGATGTTTATTACATTTTGTTAAAACTCTGAAATAAAACAGAAAATAACTAAATATCCAATGAAGGAGGACAAGTTAAATAAACACATGACCTCCAAAGGGAAATGAACCGTTACGTAGCTAATGAAATAAAAATCATGGAAAACTATTATAGTGGTAACATACTCATCACTGAAAAAAGGTGGCTGAAAACTATTTGATCCCACACACCCAGATGCACGCACACACACTCACGCAGAACAATCTCTGAAATGATGTAAGACAAAAAGCTAGTAGCAGTTAGCTCTGGGCAGTTGGGTCACAACCACTTTCTAAAATACTCTTTGTCCTTAGATGAATCTACTAACTTTTTCTATGACAAACAGGCACTTCGTATATAAACGTTATTTTTTAAACATCCGTTGTCTACTAAGCTTCTAACCCAAAGCTTGTCACCAGTCCTGCCCCTGGCAGACGTTGAGGACGACTCCCAGGAAAATATAAAAATGGGTTCCTGAAGTCAGAGTCCGTTAAATGGAGTTCAGCTACGGCAGGCGGGGGGCAATGAAGCGGGGCCCTGCAGCCCATCCTGGACCTGCTGGGTTCTCTGTGCTCCTCGTCGCGTGGCTGTGCTCTGTCCACAGTCACTGTTAGTGACAACCACCCTGGCTGACCTGTGCTGACCTCTGCCCGGGAAGCAGTCCCGGTCTGGCTCTGCCACTTACCAAATATGGGACAAGATCTGATGGCTTCTCCTGAGCCCTCTTCCTCCTTTCCTCATTCTGCCAGGGAACAGGAACACGAAGGTTCAGGAGCAAATTTACTGTGGCTGGAAGCATCAACGGGACCCCACACCTATCTCTCTCCTGAACACACACGAGGCTGGTCTTAGGTATGTTCCTACTCAGGATAGAGACACACGGGAGTTGGGTCCAAGAAGTCTGCAGAGACACTAAAACTCTAGAATTACAGTAACTCCATAAAGAATTCTGAGGGTGTTTTTGTTTTTAATTGGAGACTACCTAAGTGCTTAAAAATAAGAGATTAGTTAATCAATTTTGATAACAATTAAAGCATGCCATGCTACGAATCAATTTAAACTATCACACAAGAAATTATCGGACATGGAAATCTCTTCTGGCCATACCAGTAAGTGGGGAAAAGAAAAAAAAAGGAGAATACGTAATCCATAAGCACATGATTCACAGATGGGTATCAGGTAGATGGATGGGATGTTCCTAGGTGCCTGGAGTTTTAGCTAAATTCCCAAACACCCCAAATCCTCCGGGGGGAGCTGCTAGACCCAACCTAACAGACGCCTCCCTTTGGAGAAGGAACGGCGGAAGGAGAGGTGTCTACTGAAGGTGTATGTGGGGCTCTGCTTCCCTCCCATGCCAAGAGGGGTGGTTGCAAGAGAACCAGAGGGAGCCTGCAAAAAGTTGGGGGGGATAACCTTGCCCCCCCCACAGGCTGGCTGTGTGCCCAGCTGCAGAAACTCTCGGGCACATGGCGGTTCAGCCGACGGGGCGCAGGTGGTCCGGGGAAAGCTGTGTGCACGCGGGAGCCCAGCAGCGGCAGTCAGCCTCACAGCCGAGGAACTCAGAAGTGAGAGGCCGGCAAAGGCCACCGTGGTGGCCAGGTGAGGAGTGGGGGCAGGAACGGGAGCCCCCTGCACGGCCTGCGTGTGTTGGAACCAGGATGCGAGAGTTGCCGGCGGCACGGGGAGGACGGGAAGGTAGGTGGGCATGAGCTCTACAGGAAGGACATGGAGAAGCGGGACCACTGAACCAGGAGCTGGGGGTGGGCACCAAGGTCTGCCAGAGAGCCCCTGCTGGTGTCACAGGCTCTGCACCCCCAAAAGGCCACCAGGTGGCCTCCAGCGTGACGGAGGGCAGCCAGCTAGGCAGGTGAAGCTACCAAAAACACCAAGCAAGGAGGCGTCTGTGCTACTTTCCCCTCCTCCTGCCCTGCCCCTGGTGGAGAAAGAAGCCATCCACTGAGGAGAAGGAGGGGTCAAGGAGGAGCAGAGACAGAAGAGATCACCGGCCCTCCATCTGGGGATGAAGACCTGCAGCCCTGCAGAGGGGAGAGGGAGAAGCTCGAAACTGGGCGGGAGCATGAGCTGTTCACTAGACCAACGGCAACCAGCCGAGGAGAGACCGGTCTTCATCACAACCTCACGTGATGAACTGCTCTGGGTTACTGGAGAGCTCATCCTGGCAGGGACGTGTTCTGGCTTGAACTCTGTCTCCCCAAGAAGATATGTCAGGGATCCTAGCCCTTAGTATCTCAGAATGTGGCCTAATTTAGAAATAATGTCTTTGCAGATGATCGTGGAGGGGGCCCCGACCCAGTGTGACTGGCGTGCTTGTAAAAAGGGGAAACTGGGGCACAGGGAGAACGTCAAGGAAGATGAAGGCAGGAATGCCAAGGACTGCCGGCAAGCCCCCAGAAGCAGGGGAGAGGCCCAGAGGAGGTGCCCCAACATGGCCTCAGAAGGAACCGGCCCCGCCCACGCCTGAGCTGAGAAAGATCACATCTCTGCGCTTCAAGCCGCCCCAGTCTGCAGTACTCTGTCATGGCGCCCCCGGGAAATGAGGACAGGAAGGCAGACCCAACAGCGTGGGTCCAAAACCATGGGCAGAGGGGACACTCTACTGTTTCCTGTTTGTGTACATCCAATTTCAGCACGTGGAATGGGTTTTTGTAAAAACATATAAAGAAAAAAATTCCGTACAAAACACACAAAATGTTAACAACGGTGACCTCCGCATGGTAGGATCTGTTTGCTTTGACATAGTGTCATTTTCTAAAAATTTTTCTTAGACAATCAACATGTGCTCACTCTTCAATATTTCAATATTTCATAAAAATATACATATATCATCTTACTGGGTTTTCTCTCCATGACCGCCTATCAGAGTCCTTCCCCTGGAGGAGAGGAAATCCGTGGGAGGGTCTGAAGGGGTGGAAGGTGGGAAGGGACGGGTTTTAGCGATGACCTGAGGCGCACGGGAGGAAGCCCCCGCCTGGCGGACGGGAGCCCTGGGCGCTAGTGCTGGCTCGGCCTCTAGTAAGCTGGGTGGCTCTGAACACCTCTCTCACGCGCATTTTCTTTCGTCTTTAATATGAGAAGGAAAAATGAAATACTCTTAGGTTAAGAAAGCAACTTCTATGCCTTGACTACACGAGGAGGGTCTACGTCTCACAAGCCGTGGAGTGCGGGGCAGTGGGGGCAGGGGTGGGGGGGTGCCGGGACAGAGGGACAGTGAATGCACCTGAGTGTAGAGAGATCGGGGCGGGGGGTCGTCCTCCGAGAGTCATGGGGATCCCTTCCCTCATTCCTGTTTCTCACCCTAAAGCAGGGGATCCCCTCTCCTTCTAGCAAACCTTCCCCTAAACCAAATCCTAGATGATCCCCTGATATGGTGGCATCCCCCAAATTCACTGTCAGCAAGTGGGTCCTCGGCTGTTTTAGGGATGCTTTTCTGGGGGCTGCCCCGTACTGCGTGGACCTCCAGCTTCAGCCCTAAGCTACGAGGGGGAGCTCAGAGAGGGCGCCCTGCTTCCAAAGTAGATTGCTGCTCCCCGGGTGCCCTTTCCAAGAATTATCCTATTATCCTATCGGTAGGGAGCCTGGGGCTTGAGGACTGGCAAAGCTCTGCTCTCCTGCTGAGAACTTACCGTGGGCTGGAGGCTCAGCTCCTGCTTCCAGGCGGTGGTCTGGGGGTAGAAAGGAGCTGGAATATGCAGACTGAGCCACCTTGTCCCAGGCTGATTCTAAGACTTTGCCAAGACACTAAGAACACCTGCAAATAAATAGACGGTATGGTGAGACTCACATGAGAACATGAGCAGGACATTTACCTCCAACCAGGGGCGGAGAGAGTGGGAACACAAGAAGGACCCCGGACCACCCCATGTGCAGAGCTGAGAGAAACCTCAGCTGACAGCAAGCCAGGAATCAGGGGCCTGGGGCCTCAAACCGCTGGACACAGACTTCTGCCGGCCCCCATGAGCCTAGAACAGACTCTACCGCGAGCCCCCTGCAAAAGAGGCCCACCATCCCACACCTTGATTCTGGCCTTGGGAGACCTGAGTGGAGCCCCAGCCAGTCATGTCCCCCTGGGCTGTGCAGAGCTGTGAGGTACAGTGGGTGTCGCTTTAAAGCACTGGATTTGTGGTAATCTGGGACGCAGCCCTCCACTGGGGGCTCAGGAGAAGGCTTAGGGCTGGGCGGGAGACCACAGAGAGACTCCCTGGGTAGTGAAGGTCTGGAGGAGCAGAGTGGCTGCCATTGTGGGAAACCCGGGGAAGCCCCATCCTTCCAGAAACTTCTCTGCTGAGAAGCAAAGCCTTATGCTGCCAAAGGAAAGGGCAACAAAACCTGTTGCTCTCAGAGCACGGGTAAGACCTACGGCTGCTGACAGGAAAAGGGGGAAAAAACCCTCTCCCATGTGAGGGGGCAGGCATGTGTCCTAGGCCCCTACCATAGCGGGAGGCCCCAGACCCACGACTCAGGCATGCAGGGCCCTCCAACACCAGCCCAGGCAGCACTGAGGAAGAAGCAGGAGCACCAGTGCGGGGAGAAAGTCACAGCGGGGAACAGGGACCAGCCCACCGAAGCGCAGAGCAACGCCAGCGAAACGTGAGGCTAGTGGCCGGGGCCTGACAGTGGGAACCAGAGCAACAGCAAATGCCAGGCCTGTCTACTCCTGACCAGTCTTGCAGCAACCAACCTCCTGCATCCCAGCCCCGCGCGCACAGCGACAGGGGAGCAGACGTCTCTACTCCTACGCACAATGCCCAGCATTCATTTAAAAAAGAAAAAAAAAAAAAATACGAGACATACAAAAAGCAAGAAAGAACCCCCCATTGCAGAGACAAAGCAAGGGGCAGAATCCAACTCGATCTTGGGTCTACGCGCACCAGCACACGGACAGGATGCATATGTAGCTCAAACGCACGTGAAACATGTGGGGGAAACCGACAAATCCTCTATCACAGTGAAAAGATTCTAGCACATGTTTTTAGAAACGAAGATTCCAAATACAAAAAAATAAATAGAGTATACAACATTTGAATAACAATTTAAAAGCTCGACGTATGGGATCAGACAGTAGAATGGACTTGCTAATCAAAGAATGTACGTTCTTTTTAAGAACATCTGGGATAGTTATAAAAACTGACCCCAAAAAGCTAAGAATAAACCTCAGTAAATATGTTAAAAATCAATATTGCATAGATGCCACTTGCCACTCTCTAAACCAAAAAGCAATACAACTGGAAAATTATAAGAATGCAGAATTATTTATAACAATGACTGCAAAAATATTACATATCAAAACTGAGGCATAGTTACAAACACACACTTAAAAAAAAAATACAGCCCTAAAATACTTTAAAAAAAAAAAATTACAGCCCTAAGACACGTGTTAGATAAAAATGGAAAATTAACGACATTCATCGCAGGAGGCTAGTACAGAAAAGAGTAAACCCAAAAGCCATAAAAGAGACAAGTATGAGCAGAGATTTTTAAAAGAGGAAATCAAAGAAATAATAGAACAGGTTAAAAAAAAATCCTAACACCAATGTATTACCTGAATCTAATCATGGTGAGACATTCGACAAACCTACATTGAGGAACATTTCACAAAATAACTGGCCTGGACTCCTCAAAATTGCTATTCTGTTGAAGACAATGAAAGATTGGGGAATTGTTCCAGAGAAAAGACAACAAAGGGACATGGGGGGGGTGGGGAAAGCAACGCATGATCTGACATCTCCTTGAACTCGAA